TAAAAACTAGAATGGAAAAGAGAAGAATCTGGTGAATTAATACAATTGCACATTGAAAGAATGGAGGAATCAGAGATTTATATCACTAAAGCAATAATGCACACATGAGGTAGCACTGATATATTCATCTGATGCTAATAAAATATCAGACAAAGAATTAAAAATAAATACAGAAAAACTAAGACAGTGAAAGAAAAAGGTTCAATACATTATTCAATATGTTCTTATCTGTAAATTTAAATAAAAGCAAAAGCTAGACAACTTTTAAGGCAATTTAAAATTCCTATTTTTATGAGGAATGGATTAGGAATGAGAATAAGCAAAAGCACAACAAGCATAGCAGAGTATGACATATTTGGTTATCAAATACAGACCATATTGAAGAAATGGGGCAAATAAATACACATGATGTTGTTAACAAATGCAAGGTTGAGTACATTACAGAGAAAAGTCTTTAGCCACATTGTAATTTTTAGGTTTATGATCTTCAGAAAGGGCTGTTAGAACGACTTTCAACAGTTCAGCGAGGACTACTTTCAGATGTGTAGCCTCATTTGAAAGGAGATGGGAAGGGAAATGTTTAAACAGAACAGAAAAACATGTGCTACTATTATATACATCAGTATTTATAAGAGTACTGTACTGAATTATGGGGATCCATCAAGAGTGATATCCGTGAAAGAGGAAATGTGAAACTCTCATAGGAAAAAAAAAACTGATGGAAGAGAACAGAATGATTTCATGTAGAAGGAGAAAAATAAAACAAATTCTTACAATAAAATATGGCATGATGAATACCAGATTGGAGGCAGACCAAAACCTATTATTTAATTTGGATGATCACAATATGGATGTGTGTGAGTGAAGTGGTCAGCCTGGGCTCTGGGTATGGCCAATGGAGAGAAATAGGTGCTGTGAGGGAGTGGTTCCCTCACCTGCTGGCTTTGGTGGCTCAAAGGCAAACCTGGGGAGGGGATGTCTGCTGAATTTTGGTCAGAGAAAACCCATACGTTTCTATAGACAAGGAATTAGTCACTGAATCAGAGCTGTGAAGTTAAAACTTGGATGGATGAGGTATTTTTTACTGAGCACCTTATTGTGAAAGTAATTTTACACAGTGTGCTCTGGCATACCGTGGCCAGGCTGGCAACATTCATCATCGATTTGGGTATAAAGATAGACAGAATAGGTTCTTTCAATATTATCACACCCCATTCAAGAGGAAAAAACAACCAAACAACAACAACCCAACCAACCAAACAAAAAAAATCCACAAACCAAAACCTCCAACACTCAGAGATTTAAAAGGATGAATTTCAGCTGAAAAAGTTGATCTCCCCAGCCTGCTTCCTCATACAGAAAAGCTCACTTGAGACCAGGTGAACTAGCCTTTGGCTCTGCAGCAGCCTCCAGAGACACCTCTCCATTCCTGTTTGCTGTAGGCTTTGGTTAGGAAGATCACTCTTCCTGGATTCCAACAGACTCTAACTGGAAGGATGCACATTAATGCTTTTGCAGAGAAGATAATTCCAGGTTCAGTTGGCCTCGTGTCTTCCTCTGATATGTCTAAAACTGGTTCTGGTGGTCATATGAGTTGTTTCTTTAAGGAAGATTACTTTAGTGTAAATCTTAGTGCAGCTATTTTGGTATTTAGAAGACAGGTTTTCTAAAAATACATGTTTGAAGTTTGGTTTGCCTTGTTGTTCAGAATTTTACAGCACAAAATGAGTCAGGCAGTAGGTTCTGGGAATGAGCAACTCCTTCCCAGCACAAAGAACAAGACAAGGTTTTCATTGCCCAGTGACACAGCATTCACATGATGCTGGAAATTACAAATTGCTTTATGTGTTAGAGCAACCTTGTTGTAATATTCCTGTGATTTTAAAATCTCCAGCTTTTCCTCAGTGATTTGGGCTCAGGTGGTGTACTGTGCTTCCCTGAGCATTTTGTAACACTTTTCTGCTCATCTATGAGCACTGACTTAACATCTAAAATAGTGCTGTCTTTGCCAAACAAATATTTGTGTGATTTCCATGGTTTTTATTTTGATTGCTGTATTAATATGATGTTTATAATTCTGGACTAAACTGAGGGATAAACGACACAAAAAGCTTCTGTTGATTTCACTGTTTGGAAGGAATCACCAGGCACCTTAATTTTGCACTGAGCATAGGAGTAGCAGCTTCCATATGTTACATCACTTTTGCCTCCTGTCTTCATTTTTGATTACCAAATTTTGAAATTTTCTGGATTTGCCTCTTTGCCCTGGCAAAGTCCCATTGCAGGAATGAGTAAGCATTTTGGGATTTGGTCTGAGAACTCTGCCCCTGTAACATTATCTTTGTAGATACAGAATTAATTTTCCACCTGAAATCGTTATCCTCTGCCTTTATCACATTATAATCCTCCTCACAGCAACTATTTGTGATGCTGCAGGCAGATTATGACTTCAAGGGAAGAATGAGCTTCAGCAAACAGAAGCAGATGAGCTCTTAAAGAGATAAAGATCCCATTTTCTTGCTTGTAATAAACCACAAAAGTGAAAAAAATTACAGAAAATATCAAGGCAAAACATTGTCTATAAACAGATTTTTCTGGAAATCGCAGGTGACTTTTTCATATTGAAACATAATAATCAATAAACCTAGACATATTTTGAGGTGAAGCCATTTGGTGAGACAGACCCACATACTTAAATCCCTATTTGGCGTGTGTTTCTAAGCACTTTTAGAGCTGCTTAGCTTCTATCAAATTCTTCTGTTACATAAACATACTTTCCCGAAGAGTTTTATCCAGCTAATGGGATGGGAGTGTGGTGAGGGAGCAGGGCAGGGTATATCACAAGGCTCTGGCCAGTGGCCCTCACATAAATAAACCACAATGCATTTAACATTTAGAAAATCTATTCTGATTTCAGAACTTGGAAGAGATTTGCTGGATGTTTTGGTCTCTTAAGGAATATTTTCACTTGCTATGGAATAATCCCTGATGCACACTAGCATTTTTTCCTAAAAGGAAATTTCCAGGAGCAGTAAGCCCCTCTATAGCAGGCTCCCTGAGTTGTGCTTTTCCCTCTTATCCCGAATAGTCCCTAGTCCCACGTTGAATGATACATTGTAAGTATCTGTTAGCTATTTCACAGTGTGGAAAGAAAACAGGGCAACAAGCTTTCCTGCTGCAATAGTGTGTCAGAGTCTCAGATTTACGTCTGGGAATGTTTGGAGAGCCTCCTAAATCTGCACGGAGCTCCTGGCTGCAGTGGCTCCCGCTGCACTGCTTGCTCTGGTTGGTATGGGCAGGTCCTGCTTCCATTCAGACACGGGGGCTCTGTCCTTACCTAAACTCTGAGTGGTTCCATTGCTTCTGTAGAGTAGGAGGGATCATAAAAAAGACTCAGGAAAGGTTGGCTGTACCTTTGCATCATGTGTATTGCACAGCCCTGATGCACTGCAGACACGAACCTCCCAGACTGACTAAGTAGATTTGGGCTCTATTTCTGTCCCTCCTCCCCAGTGCTCATGGTTAGAAGGTTGTTCCCTGGAAGTTACTTCACCTTCCCTTTTTACTTCCCTGCAGCCTTTTTACATCATCTGTTGCATGCAATGCTATCTATAGCAATTACTAGCATGTGTACATAAATGTGTGTTTGTGTCTTTTGTCCATTTAAGGGTATGTTTACTTAATGTGGAATGCATTTAAATAATGAAGATAGCTGTTTGTCTGTCCGTCTGAGTGTCAAGCCAGACACTGTCTTCCCTTACAGATTCATGAACATTAGTGGAGGAAATCCAATTTTCACAGAGCCATACTTTTGATTGTTTCAATTTACCAACATAACAGCATTTTAGCACAACTCTTCTGTGCTGATTTCCTAATTAAAATGACAACAAAAAAGGCAAAACAAATCCCAAAACCCAAAAGCTAATAGAAGGGGGGAGCAAAAGAACAGCAGATTTATATGGAAATGTACTGCTCCCACTAGTTTTCTGCTGGCAGGAATTCAGGATATTTAGATTCACAGCATAGATTTCTGCAGTTTTATCTGAAATCTAACCTCGCAGAAGTTGGATTCTAAAATGCTGGCTTTGTTGCATAAGGACTTCAGCAGGTATTCTGCTAGAAGAAAAAAGAAAGTAGAAAATTAGGAATTGTTGCATCTATTCTTGGTTTTGAAAAGAAATATAGTCCTTAAACTGCAGACTGTCACTCAGGGCAGATTTGGCTCACCTATTCTGAAAGCTGATATGACTAAGTGAATGAATATTTACAACCTGGCCAAGTTTAATATCAACCAACATTGTATTCAGTACAAATGGCCCTTGTCAGACTTGTGCATGCTCATGAGGGACTCAGTGAAATGAGAGAATGCTCATTGTGAATGCTCTGCAGGTAGCAATAAAGGGATAGCATTATACATGTTGCCATTAAAGGAATGAAATTCTGTAAGGCCATGAGCCATTCTGGATGATGCTCAGAGGTTTTCCCAGAAAGCCTCTAAAAAGCATTTCTGAAGGGCAGCTTTTCCTGGGTTTATTAGTTTGGCCAAATATACCCATATTTCTGAGATGATATAATTGTTGCCACCTAACAACTTTTCTTCACTTTCATTCTCAGGAAAAAAGTCCACATTTCCAGCCCATGCTCCCTAAAACCATTTCTCATGAGACCAAAAATTAACCTGGAAAATTTTAATTATAAATTTTAAATTAGAACTTCTTAGTTATAAATAACTAAAAGTGTGAGCTTACAAAGAAAAGCACCAGGAGTTAGTGCTACTGGCTGTGTCTGTAATACAGATAACTGAGCAACACAAATCAGATGTGATATCAACAGCACTTGGCAGAATCTCTTTATTGTTACATGCAGTATATATGGGCATTATATTAATTTAAGGTGAGCATGCCTGTACTTTGAACTGTTAAGATCCAGTGTGATGCTGCAATTGTTACACAGCTCCATTTTGGGAGACGCCAAACACGATGATTCCTTTTCTCTTACAGGGCTTTAGATCCAGCCCTCGCCATGCCAGAAGACGAGTAGCACCTCGCCTGGAGGAAACACAACCCATAGTGGAAGCTCACCACCTCAGTGAGCAGGAAACTTCTGTAAGAAAAAGAAAAATCAAGAAAAGCAGCCGAGTCCAACCAGAATTTTACCATTCTGTTCAAGTCACCCCAACTCGAAAACCTGTAAGTATTCTACCTTTAGGGATAAATAGCACTTACTGTTATAAAAGCACTTACACTTGGAGGCATGTAATATAATTCTAATTTTTGAGCTATTCATATTCTCTTCCTCAATTTAAAAACCTTTTCAGTGCTCATATTCAGCAGCAAATCCAAACAAAAATTTGTAAGACTGTATTTAATGTTGATGCATAACTCTAAAAAATAATCCTGCTCTGAAGAGGGTTTTTTTAATTTTGATTTTTAAAATTTATTATTTAGACTATACACTATAATCAAGTTAGATATTAAATTTTATATTTTTATAGTGATATTACTTAACAGGTTTTTATAGCAAATGTGCATTTTATTTAAATTTCTTACTTAGATTTAACAGAGATGCTATTTAGTACTCAACTAAATTTATTTTAAATATCGTTACTAGATTCAATTTTGAGATCTCTTCTACTTTATACAGTGTTTACAATCTTTCTGCTCAACAAAACTTAGATCAAATCTCATGATTCTTTGCTCCTCAGCTTGATTTGCACACAGTTATTTTAATACTGATAACCTACTTTTAGTATGGAAATATGACAGTTTGTTGGGATATACAGTTCCTAATGTAAATTTGCATGAGGGCCTATTCTGTCCTGCAGGCATAGTGCATTTCTCTTTTTAATGAGCTCATTGCTTTGACACATTTTCTGAGGAGCTTTTCTGTGCCAGTGTTATGGGGCTCGAACAACTTTATAAAGTCAGTATTATTAAAGAGGTAATTATTGAGCACACCCTAAACCAGATTATCTTGAAGTTGCTGGGACCTACCTGAGCCTTCCTAGACTGGTGTTAACTGAGCACCAAGAATTATCAGTGAGCTCTGAAGATGGTTTGAGGAAGCATTCCTTAGTGGAATTACGCTGCCTGAGAGAACAAGCAACTTCTGCAAAGAAAGCCATGGCTGCCAACAACTGCCAGAATTTTTACCTAGTATCTGAATTTGTTTCTCTGCTTTCACTTCACTAGTCCCCATTTTCCTCTTCTCTCATGCTTCTGTTTATGGTTTATTTAACACTGCTCATGTTTTTGTGTTTAATTTGATATGATTTGTTTGTATTCTACTCTTCCTAAAGGATCTCCTCTCACTTTCTTCTCAACCATTTCACTCCCATCCTATCTCTTTCCTTCTAGACTACTTTGTCTAGCTCTGTTACTCATATTAAGTCTCCAGCCTCCCACTAGGCTCCCTCACTTGATTATTCACATGCAGGGTCCTTTCCCTGCTTTGTTGTCCTTCCTTTACCTCTTCCATCATCAACTCTTATTTTCCATACCACTCTTCTTGTTGTTGTTTTTTTTTTTAATTCCCTTTTTTCTTTGATCGTATTTTTTCCATGGTAGGCCCATGCCAAGTGTAAGCCTGCCTGTCACTGCTGAGGCTGTAACCAATTGCCACTGTTTACCAACACTGGAAAAAGAGCATCAGTGCCACTGAATTAAAGAGCTAAAATGGTAGAAATGGTGTAAGCAGCAAAACAGGTTTGGAAGAATGGATTAGTTATGCTAAGAAAGCCCTACTTTTTCCAAAAGTCAGTAACATGTCAGGGATTTAAGGATCAGAAAAATAAAAAATATAAGAATAGAAAATGTGCAGTGTTACTATGTAGCTTCATTTTTGTATCATTTCATGTGTCTGCTGTGTCTGAAGAAGATCTACCACTGTGTCCTAGGGTGTCCTAGGTTTCACTGAAACAATAATAAATCCCAGATTTAGAGAAAACTTCTCTCAGTGCTGTCACTATTATGTCACTTCCTTGAAATTGCTTTTGCAGTGTATCTTTTATACAGTTACATAGTTCTTTTCATAGCTTTTCCTTCTACAGCCTTGATGAGTGCCCATTTCTACCAAAAAAAGAATAAATTATCTTTATTATACTACAATCCAGAAAACATAAGTCACCAATTTAATTCCTCATGGACATTGTAAGTTATTTTGAGTGTATTATTAATGCCATGGTGACAGGGTGAGTAAGGTTTATGCCATTGCCATGACAAATCACTGCAGTGTTGTGAAGTTCCAGGCAGTCACCAGGATGTCCATCCTGCAGTTTGTTGCATCTTCATCCCACTTAGTCTCAATGAATTGAAGCTGAGAGACTTTTGACCTTCATCTTTGTATGGTTTTAAATGATTCAGTGCCAGAAATGCTCTTGTTAATCTGCATAATTTCTTTCCCCTTTTCCCCCTGATATTCCTAGCTCTGCCCACTTGAACCACTCTAAATAAATAATCTGTTGTCTTGATGTTAAAATTATGGCCATATTCTGCTGAGTCATCACTTGAAAAAAGTCCTGTATGATGTCTGCCAACCAGAAGATATAATGTCTCCTCATAAACCAGTTCTCCTTTTAATTTTTTTTCCCTCCTAACGCATTTTTGTCCCCTTTTTTTCTGACAAGAATGATATCTCCAAAGTAATTATAAAAGAACCTTAGGGAAAGCTTTTCCTTTGCTCCAGCAAAATTTAAAGTCCTGAAATATGTTAGCCTGTTTTGTTGTCATATTGAGATATATGCATAAAGACTTTTCAGATATTTTATTTAAAGCTCTGGTGGATATTTAGACGCTAGGCTTTCTTACTCTTGCTAAGTTTGAATATTTGTATTTGGTTGGTTTTGTTGTGTCTAAATCTTGTTTTGCAGTTTCCTAGCTGCTATAATTATCTGAATTTGCTTGTATTATTTTTTACTTCCTGCATAGCAATCTGAGATCTTTCCAGTATTGTTCCTGATCTCGTCAGAACTAAATGAGTTGTAATTGTTTGGATGGGAGTAATCCCACTGAAGACAATAATTACTCCACTTGAATATCTGCATGAGGAGATGTTTGCAGAAATAGAACATTAGTTTTCTCTGAAAATGTAATGGTTTTTTTATACCTTCCTAGTTGTTAATGGGGATATTAAATATATTTTGTGCTTATACTGATCCTTGCCAAACAGTTTATAAGCCATTTTCATTTTTATTTAACTTATTCTAGTGCAACATGAACCTAGTGCTGAGGCTTCCCCTTGTAGGGCACATTGTTATGCCCTCTAGGTCACCCTCTCATTAGTGGCTGTATTATTTGTGCTGACATTCTCTATAGGTGACAGCTTTGCATCAGTTTCTTATGGAGGAGAGTACACGTACTTGCTACTGACTTGTGCTGTGAATTTTTGAACACAGTGGAGAACTCTTGAGAACAAACAGAACTGTGTTTTTTAGGCTGATGTGATTGCATGCAAATCAAGGGAGTGTTTCATATTGCTCCTTTCACAAACTGGGTACCTGATTCTGTTAAATTTTCTGAAAGTGTGGAAGGATGCGCAAAAATCTCTTGTTGTGAGCATGCTGCTGCCTAGCAATACTTCTCCAGGGCAGATGTTAAACTGAGGGTTCTTTTACAAGCATTTTGAAAATACTGTCTTTATTTTAAATAGTGCTTCTGCTCTGAAGCAAAGTATAAAATGCTGCAAGTTATTCATAGGTGGCCTTGAGTTTGTGTAAACAGATGTGGCTCCTGAGCTGTGGGGTCAGTTGGGTTACAGTTCTGCCAAACAATGCTTGTATGACCATGAATATAATTGAAAAGAGATGATGTCAAAGCAGCATCTTTTGACATCTCCATTGTTAAACGATTTGAAGGGCTCCTAAATGATTCATGCAGCTTTATTACCAGGATTATTTACAATCATGACATGTAGTACCCAAATTTGCAGTTTTGTTTGTCATGATCACTCCAAGACATGGTAGATGAGACTGCAGAGACAGGGTGATAAATAAACCTGTTTTCTTTGCTTTCAGATGTGAAAGATCTCTTTCTACTCAAATGCCTTGTACTTTACACATCCAAAGATCTATTTTTCCCCAGAACTGTAGCAACAGCGTGTATTGAGGTGATTGCTAGTGAATATTGTTACAAAGAAAAGTATCTCTGAAATAACCTACAAAGAATAAACTGATGACAAACAATAATCTCAGAAGCACTGCTGATTGTAGGTATTCCTCAGGGTCTCCTAATTTACCTGTTTCTAATTATTTAAGGACTGGCCTTTGCTGAAGCAATTTAGCTCCTTAGGAGTGGGTGCAGCATCACTATAAGTCACTACAAGGAAAACAGAGAGAGGTCAGATATCTGGGGGGTCACATGTGAAAAATCCCTGATGTGGGCAGCTTCATTTGGCTCCACTGAGACTAATCCCATGGCCAAAGTGAAACTTGCACTATGAACACCCTGATAAAGAAACCATGAAAGCACAGTTTGATCAATTTTTAATGCATGTAAAACCATAAACTGTCTCATTCATGGTCTTTCCAGTTATCCTGGTTTACTTATATGTTGTAATCAAACCTTAAAACTTATGGGAAAATCAGTATTAGAGTTATGTCTGAAAAATACTTAGGAGTTTTTTTAAATATCTGATACCAAATAACTTATAGAAGTTCCAGAAGTCTCACATTTCTGACACCTTAAGAATATTTTTTTCATATGGATAAAGTTGTTCTACAAGGCCCTTTAGGAGTTTTTAATATGTCTCATTAAATAATATTAATTTCATTAATTTCCATTTATTCTTACTCTGATGTTATGTACTAATTTTCCAGTACCACTATGTCCTTTAGATGCTATTTGAATGACCTAAAACATGAGATGCAAATATTGCCCATCACTCTGCACAAGACTTGGTTATTTCCAACTATTAGCTATTTAATCTGTAGATTGCATTCATATCTTCTTTCTTTTGGAGACATCTGCTCATGCTGGATTGTGTCTCTTGTGAATTGCATTTAGAAGCAAACTTGGCAAAACACTACCATGCCATCTTTCACTTTCAGCATTTTTATTAACATCATATCAATGTTCTCAAACGTATGGCGGGGCTGTGAGCTGTCAGATTCTGCACGCACGTGTGCACACACACACACACCCGGGTCCTCTCTCAGGACAGTCTGAGCACAGCCATAAGGAGCAAACACAGGGAA